TACCCTAATTTATAACCAAAATTCTTGTTATTAACTCCTAAATGCATGACCTTGCACTTTTTCAGTAGTTAAATTTCATCCTATTTACTATTACTCCAGTTTACAAGGTCATCCAGATCTTCCTGTATGATATCCTGGTCCTTCTCTGTATTAGCAATACCTCCCAGCTTTGTGTCATCTGCAAACTTTATTAGCACATTCCCACTTTTTGTGCCAAGGTCAGTATAAAAAATTAATAAGATTGGTCCCAAAACTGATTCCTGAGGAACTCCACTAGTAACCTCCTTCCAGCCTGACAGTTCACCTTTCAGTACGACCCATTGTAGTCTCCCCTTTAACCAGTTCCTTATCCACCTTTCATTTTTCATATTGATCCCCATCTTTTCCAATTTAGCTAATAATTCCCCATGTTGAACCATATCAAACGCCTTACTGAAATTGAGATAAACGCAGTGGATCTAATTTCCTTTGTCTAAAAAATCTGTTACCTTCTCAAAGAAGGAGATCAGGTTGGTTTGGCACGCTCTACCTTTTGTAAAACCATGTTGTATTTTGTCCCAATTACCATTGACCTCAATGTCCTTAACTACTTTCTCTTTCAAAAATTTTTCCAAGACCTTGCATACTACAGATGTCAAACTAACCGTCCTATAGTTACTCGGATCACTTTTTTTCCCTTTCTTAAAAATAGGAACTATGTTAGCAATTCTCCAGTCATACAGTACAACCCCTGAGTTTACTGATTCATTAAAAATTCTTGCTAATGGGCTTGCAATTTCATGTGCCAGTTCTCCTCTCATCCCTCTGTAAATAAATATTTCCCTTTGTTATATCCATTGTACTTTTCCTGTGGGTGGGTGTATTCATTCTGGGGGGTTTGGAACAAGTGCCCCTGGGGTGGAAGGGATTTCTCCTGCTGCATTCCTGTGTATGCCATCTCTTGGCCAAAGCTGTCTGCAGAGCAGACTCCATCTTGGCCACGAGGGTGCTAAAGTTACCATACAATAACGGCAACGTTCTTGGCTCAGGCTTGTAGCAGTGATGGAATAAACTTCTGGCTTAAATCAAGTCTCTGGTTGCTTCCAAATCATTGGAAGGTCCTTAGTCCCTTGGTTAGAATGGTCCCATTAGTATAAGTTCATAGTCCAGAGGTTTGAGCAGGAAAGAGGAAAGATGGAGAGGTTTCCAGCGCCTTTTATAGCCTCTGCCAAGTGAAGGGAATCCCATTGTTCTCCCTGTGGAAAATTACAAGGAACAAGATGGTGTTTGGGGTCACATGGGCAAGTCACATGTCCATGCATGATTTTGCTCAGTCACAGCAGAAGCCATTACCCATACACTAGTTGTTCTCATGAAATTCCATTAAGTGTAGATAGGCATCTGCCATGGTCCACTGTGAGTTAAGTGTTCCTTAATAAGCCATTTAACTTGAATAGTCCCTTTGAGATTTGCAGGCTAAATAACTTGTGGGTGCTTCCCAGAAGCAAACACATTAGAAATACAGGTATAGAGCCAATACTCATAACTTCAGATACAAACATGATACATGCATACAAATAGCATAATCATATTGAGCAAATCATAACCTTTCCATAGACACCTTACTTGACACACGTCATATAAGCTTTGTTGCAATTATAGAACAGTGGTAGCAACAATGATCTACATGGTCATATTTTAACGAGATGACATCACACAGGGCCAAACCAGCCTCCCTTGCTGGTTTTCTGGCTTTGCCTGGCTTCCCCCTACACCCACAAAGCTGTTTTACATCAAGCTTCCCCTGAGTCACAAACTCCCTCTGGCTACACAGCCCTGAGAATACCCAGCCATACAGGGGATGAGACCTCACAACAATAGCACTGCCCAGAGCAGGCAGAGGCAGCTTAGGCATTTTTGCCCTTAAATAGAATTCTGCACAGAACTACAAAACAATCCATATTTCAACCATCAGTTCAAAGAAGCCAGGATCAAAATGAGAAAGAAGTAAATGATACAATAGGGACAGTAACAGTTAAGAAAAGTGGCGAGAAAACTGAACCACACATGGATTCGGAGATTTTCAATCCAGAAAAGACCATTACTTCATCTTGTCTGATCTCCTGTATAGCCCAGACCATTGAATTTCACCCAGTTTCCCCTGTACTGAGACCAAAGCTTACATTTGATTAAAGTAGATCTTCCAGAATGGCACGCAGTATTGAAGACTGTAAGAGATGGTGAATCCATCATTTCCATGGGCACTGTAAAACCAGCACAGGTGGCCATCTCAGGATTGCCCTGGCCAGGTGGGTTTCTCAGGACAGGGCTCTACACTACCACCGCCCCAGCCCCGATATAGGACATATGGCTAGGAAAAGAAGGCGCATCTGGAGCATTGTTGTGCTCCAATAATCCCTGGTTAGAAGTGGGACAGAAACACAGCATACAGCTCTCTTTGGCACCCCTCTGAATACTATGACAACTGGAACTCAGCTGGACACAAGAATATGGCTCAGCTGTGGAGCATGACTAAACCTGAACTAAAGGAGAACATGATCACTCTCTGGAAACACTGTATCAGAAAGGAACACTCCAAAGAGAGGGTTTGTTTAGCCTGGCCGAGAAGAATACAACTAGGAGTAATGGGCTGAAATTAAGTAGGAAAATACAGATTGAACCTTCCTGAATGGGAGCGCAGAAACAGTGAGAGCACAGTAACACCGGTAGGGCTTTATTGTGGGGACACTCACACCCAGGCTAGGCTAGGCTAACCCAAGTACTCAGATGCGGGTGCCAATCACAGAATCATAGACTTTAAGGTCAGAAGGGACCATTATGATCATCTAGTCTGACCACCTGCACAACACAGGCCACAGAATCTCACCTACCCACTCCTCTAACAAACCCCTAACCTATGTCTGAGCTATTGAAGTCCCAATCACCTGGGTTAACCGTGCAGTGTAGACATAGGCTTATGAGGCCTTGTTTAATTGCAGTTAATAGAGGTTCAGGCTCAGGCTGTGGCCAAAGCTCTGGGTCCTACATCCAGGCTCCAGCCTGAACATCTAATACAGCAGATTTTCAGCCCTAGAGCCCAAGTCCCACAAGCCAAATTCAGCTGACTGGGGCCAGCCTGTGGGGTTTTTTTTAATTATTATTTATTGATTTATTTTTCCTGTATAGACATCCTGTAACTCACTTCCAGCTGCCACATCACAGGACAGCAGCAGTGCTCAGAACAGGGCTAATGGCTCCCTAATCTCTGACGCATGCAGAGATGTCAGGGAAGCAGGAAGATGCAGGATGTTAGAGAATTCAGATAAAAGATTCTTCTTTAATGCAGCCAGACATTTGTGATGACAAAGGCAAGTAGGACGAGCTAATTCCCCACTGACCCCTACAAAGCTGTATTGAGCTGAGTTACAGGAACACAGAGCGTGATGCACTTACTGTGAGAGAGGGAGAGTCCAGGCAGAACTTAGTATCCAGCTTCCTTTCTCTGCCTCTGTTTTCTCACTATTTAGACCCACCAGATACAGAGGCAAGAAGGACCCAGAACCAGCAGCGCTGGCTCCCTCTCACCCCACCGTGCAGAGTCTGCACTGAGTGAAGAAACTCAGCTGTGAAAGTGAAACTCAGAGCAACCCACTCACAGAGTTAACCCTTCACTCACCTCAGAGCTGCCCTGTCCTCCTGGGGCTCAGCTGAGCCTGGCTGTTACACGGAGCACAGAGGGGGAGGGACACAACTTGCACAACCTGTTGTGTGTTTGGGGGCTTTTTTTTGAGGGGTGGAGGGTGGCTTCTGCTTTGTTGTTGTTTGGGGCTTTTTTTTTACCCACCCCATTTGATTGGCTCTTAGTTTCACAATATTCTTGTCTGCGTGAGGGCACAGAAAAATAATAATATATGGCAATATACCTATCTCATAGAAGTGAAAGGGACCCTGAAAGGTCATTGAGTCCAGCCCCCTGCTTTCACTAGCAGGACCAAGTACTGATTTTGACCCCCTTGAGGATTGAACTCACAACCCTAGATTTAGGAGGCCAATGCTCAAACCACTGAGCTATCCCTCCCCCCAAAAGCTTAAAAGGCTGCTGCCTTTGGGATGGATTTTTCCTTTCACCTTTTGGGTGGTTTGACTCAGCTGTGTGTGCCTGGTGCTTGCTGGCTCCCTGCCTTGCTTTCAGTTCAGCCCCCCTGCCGCCACCATATGGCACTACCCCAGCCACCACATAGCACTAGGTGCAGGGGGGTTTGTGGTTTGGGTTACGGGGGAGAGGACTGCGGGCACTCCTGCTCTCAGCAGCAGCCTGTGATTTGCCTGAGCTGTGCTCAGGTCAGTGCAGAGACTGCTCCCTCCACATCACCCAACGGGGGGCAGGAAACAGGAGAGGTGGGGCTGAGGCACCAGCCTGCAGAGCAGGACTGGCACACATCGGGGGGGCATGTAACACACCTTGAAGGGGGTAGCAGGTGCGGTGCTCCTTGACCGTGTCCTGGGGCAGTGTTGCTCTACACCACAGCACAATGCTGTGCAGACACGGGGGAGGGAGGGGGCAGAAGAGACACATGAGGTGTCACAGGTACATGAGAGCTGTTGGTCAGAGCCACATGGGATGGCAGATGGGCAGACAGAAAGGTCAGAGGCGCACACCACACAGAGTGGGTCGGGGGTTGGGAGTCCCCTGGCCGTCACCTCAGGTGGGGGGGTTTGAGGATTCTGGGGGCCTCACTGGCAAAGTCGAGCTCACACCAGAGGGGGTGGAGCAGGTAGCTAGGAGCTCAGGGAAAGTGGGGATGTGGGGACTAGGGGTTTGGGGGGAAAACAGGCTCAGTGACTCCTTAGTTGGGGGATATAAAGGGGCACTGGAGTGGGAAATTTTCTGGCCAGAGACAGGGGAACCAGGCATTAAACTTGGGAGGCCAGATACTGGGGGGGAGCCCATGGCCTGCATGGGGGACTAGGCCTGTGGCAGTTTCTTGCCCAGGGAATTGGAAGACTGGGATAGAGGCGGGAGTCAGGGGCTGGGGTGCTCACAGGGAAGGATAAGATTTGCACTGAACACATGGAAACCTCTCCTTCTCCATCGATCTGCTTATAAAGGGCCAGGCCTCTGGCTGTGCTCTCCCGCTCTTGGGGGTTGGTTTGGTGGAGCCGTGGAGGCACCTGGAGGTGATGGGACATGTGCACAGAATGAATGGGGGTGATGTGTATTGGGTGACGTGTGCATGAAATGAGTGGGGCGATGTGTGCGCTGAATGGAGCATGAATGGGTGTGTGCAGGGGGCACAGATGGCTATAGAACAGGTGTGGTGGGTATGCACAGTGAGTGGCTCTGTCTGTGTCCAGGGTGTGTGTGCACTCAGTGTGGAATGAAGGGGGGGGGCAGTAAGTGGTGTCTGGAGAGTTTGTGTGTAATGAGTGTGTGGGTGGAAGAACAGGACGGAATGAAAGTGGGTGTGCAATGAATGCTCAGTGAGATGGATGGAAATATGGAATAGGAAATATGTCAATCTATGTAGATTTATGTAAATATCTATTTTTGTTTGCAAATGTTGGCAGGTCAACACAGTATCTGAGCAACTCAATATTTTTAACGTATTTCTCCTCTCAACCCCCATTTGAGGTAGGGTGGTGCTGATATCCCTTTTTTACAGATGGGGAAACTGAGGTACAGAGTGACTTGCCCAAAGTCATACAGGGAGTCTCTTGCAGAGAAGAGAATTGAAACCAAGTGCCCAATGCCCAGGCCAGCGCATTGATCCTGCACCATCCTTCCTCTGTAAAAGCTCATTTAAATTAAACTTGTGCAACTTCCATCATGATTTTCCAGCAGGTTTCAGACGAGAAATGCAGTAGTGCAAACAGAAGATTCTGTGGGGAACAGGTGAAGCCAAAGATCTGGGCCCTGCAGCCCCCTCTCCGCCCCCTCCTCTGTTCATTCCCAGTCTCTGCAGTAGCAGGGGGACTTGTAATCCCTGAGCTCTTTAAATTGCACTGTAAGATATTTTTCTTCAGCCCTCACACAGAACTGTGGCTCTCCAATTTTTCATTGTCATTGTTAAGATGTGGACACTAGAACTGAACTCAGTATTCTAGTATTGGTCTCACTAAATACCAATACCATATACAAAGACCTAGGCACTGACTCCATGGCGGGAACTCCCACGGAGCACCCACAGGGAAAAATTACTCACTCACTCCACCCCTCCCCCAACTCCCACCCAACCCCCACTCCCACCCACCTCCGGTCCTGCTGATCAACTCCTCCCCCTCCCTCCCACGTGCCTCCTGTGTGCCATGAAACAGCTGTTCAATGGCATGCAGGAGGCACTGGGAGGGAGGAGGAGGAGCAGGGACAGGGCACGCTTGGCGGAGAAGGTGGAAAGAGGTGGGGCAGGGATGAGAACTTGGGGGAAGGGGTGGAGTGGGGGTGGGAAGAGATGGGGTGGGGCTGGGGACTTGGGGGAGGGGTGGAGTGAGTGTGGTACCTGTGTCTGAGCAGGGGCTGAGCACCCTGGGGAAAATGAGAAGCCAGCACCTGTGTACACAGAGATAAAATCATCTCCCTACCCCTACTCACTATCTCCTGTTCACACTTCAGAAGGATTCCTTTAGCCCAGGGGTCTCAAATTCAATTTACCTTAGGGCCAGTGCCAGTCCTCAAATCCTCCCAGCGGGCCAATAACGTCACTCACACTGCCCAGAACCCACCCCCCCAAAACTCTGCCCCCACCTGCCTAAGGCTCTGGGAGGGAGTTTGGGTGGGGGAGAAGGTCTGGGGTAGGGGAGTTGGGGTGCAGGCTCGCCTCTGGGAGGGCGTTTGGGTGGGGGAGGGGATCTGGGGTGCGAGGCGTCTGGGGATGGAGTTTGGGTGCTGGGTGCAGGCTCTGGGAGGGAGGGAGGGGTGCAGGCTCTGGAAGGGAGTTTGGGGGATGGGAGTATGTAGGGAGGGGGTGCAGGCTCTGGGAGGGAGGGAGGGGTGCAGGCTCTGGAAGGGAGTTTGGGGGATGGGAGTATGTAGGGAGGGGGTGCAGGCTCTGGGAGGG